CTACTGAGTAAATGGAGATTGAATTCAAATAATACAAGCTGCTAGGCATGATGGTGCGTGCCTTTAATCCCAGTACTTGGGAGGCAAAGGCAGGCAGATCTGTGTGAGTTCAAGCCAGCTTGCTCTACATGTCAAGACCCTATCTCGACAACAACAGCAAATGATAATACATATATAAATGTTTTAGAAAGGAGATTATGGATTCAAATTTTTTGAGAGATGATTATAAACCCAAGTTCCTTTTTTTAAAGGTGATGATGGGGACAAACCCAGGGCCTTCTGCATCCTTGGCTCTTCCGCTCTCTAGGAACTCCAGTTACCACATTGTATCTCAACACCACGCTTCCCTGACACTTAGGATTTTCGAGGTTGCTCACCCAGATGTTGTACAGCCAACTTTGTGATCTTATTTCTTCTTAAACAGGGTTTAAGACTTTAAATTTTCAATCATCCTGCCTCAGCTTTCCAGCTCTTAGGACTACAGATTCAGAACACTGTAATGATGTTTGCTCTGCTCATGACCTTGGGCTATAGGGTTCGAAGGAGGCAGTACTTCCAGCCATTCTATGTGACCTCTTAAAAGAAGAACGAGAAGGATCACCTGCCCCTTCTCTCTGCTCCTGCCCGAGAGGTGAATTCACTCCCAGTCAGATCAGAGGACAACTTCAGCTGTCTACTCCGTTCTGTATTTGTAAGTGTATTTCCTCAATTTACCTGAATGAATTTTCCTAATACTTCTTAAACAGACTCCCCTGGATGTATCACTTTAGAACACAAAGCATCTTTAAAGGAGAAACGTACCCAAGAGCAATCAGAAGTGGTCCATACCCTGTGCAGATGAACACACAGTGGATGTGGAGTATAAATACCCCACGACCTTTACTCTTAGGCAGGATAATTCTAAGGCTTGTGTTTAGCATTATTTCCCACAATTTCTCTATGCAATTAAGTTACCCCACTGTGGAGGAGGCTTCAGGATTTCCCAATTCCTTTCTTCTTCTTTATCTGCATAAATTCTTCTTTTCTAGGCCAGTTTTTTTTTTTTTAATTCAAAATGATACCCTGCCCTCAATGTCAACTTCTGGGTGGACCCAAACTAAAATATCCAATGAGTGCCCTAAAGCAACATAGATTGCCAATGAGATACAAATTTAATCTAGTCCAATATTTAATTTGCGATAGATAAAAAACAAAAATAATTTGTAGTCCAGTCAGTACTTGGTTGTTACATGCCACTGTCAAAACATACAAATAACAAAGTAGCTTTTATTCAAGTCTTTGAATGCTTGTAAGGTGACAAGCTAGAATGATCAGCAAAAAATCAAATACTGGTAAACCTAGGAAACCAAAGGTTTTGAGATATATATATATATATCATCCTTTTAACTTATCTATTAAAAAACAAAATAATAAGAAACATTCACCTGGAGACTAAATTTTCCGTCACTGCCCTTACTAAGAAAGCCTCATGGACATCAGAACAGGATGTCTGGACAAGAGGATGGGGTGTGTCCTGGTTAGGGTTTCTACTGCTGAGATGAAACACTACGACCAAAAGCCACTTGGGAAGGAAAGTTCATTTGGCTTACACTTCCACGTAACTGTCCGTCATCAAAGGAAGTCACGACAAGAACTCAAACAGGGCAGGAACCTGGAGACAGGAACTGATGCAGAGGCCATGGAGGAGTGCTGCTTACTGGCTTGCCCATCATGCCTTGCTCAGCCTGCTGTCTTATGGAAACCAAGGCCAGGAGCCCAGATATGGCCCAACCCACAATGAACTGCACCCTCCCACATCAATCATTAATTAAGAAAATGCCCTACAGGCTTGCCTACAGCCTGATCTTATGGAGGTACCTTCTCAATTCCCTTCTCTTAAATAACTAGCATGTCATTTGCATAATACTGGCCAGCACAGAGGGCAATGTGTCCTAAGGAAACAGTTTATTGAGATGGTCTGTAGATGAATTGCTAAATGGTCTTATTAAATAAAAAAAACAAGGAGCCAGATATGGGGGTGAAAACCTGAGAGATCAGGGAAATAGGAAAAGCCACAGCTAACCTCACCTTACCGACATCTCAGTCTCCAAAGAGAGCTACTTCCTGGATATCCATGCCTATATGCCTTTCTGTTCTTTTCTCCCACTGGCTCTTTCAGCCTAGCTACATCACTTCCTCTTCCTGCCCGGCTCTGCCACTTCCTGTCTGTCTGTCCAGACCTCTGTGGTTAGTGCTGGGATTAAAGGGTGTGTCACCATGCCTGGCTCTGTTCCCAGTGAAGCCTTGAACTCATGGAATTCCAAACAGATCCCTGCCTCCCAAGTGACAGGATTAAAGATGTGTGCTACCATTGCCTGACTTCTATACAGAGGCTGGCTTTTTCCTCTGATCTCCAAGCAAGTTTTATTGGGGGACACAGTATATTGGGGGACGTAATACATCACCAAAATGGTCAGAATGGGATAGACAGTACTTGGGTGACATATGGCAGCCATGGAGCTCTTCAAGGCTGGAAGGATTTTAGGAATAAGCACTGAGAATGGAGCAGTCAATGTGTCACAAGTGATCATATTCTTCAGTCATTTATGAGTCTCAGCCCTCTTCAGCCTCAGTTCTCAGAGAAAGCCCCATCCATCCCACTCCCACCCGCCTCACCCCCCATTCTCCCTCTTCTATGAAACACAAAAGGAAAACGAACATGTGGACCAGGATAGGGACTTACACAAAACTCTCCCAGCTGTCTCTCTACCAAATGCAACTGTAGCTAGACCACTTGGCCTCTGAGAACTCTCTCCTCAATCTGCAGCTTTGGGTCCTCTGTGATGCTCTATGGGCATGGATGAGAAGAAAGGGCAGTGGTACCAAGTTCTTGTCCTATTGGGGTCTTCCCAATGCCACATCCCCAATGACTTGGACTGTGAAAGGCCTCCATTGAGGCCTGTTGAAAGCTAACGACATCTTACCCTTGTTGTATACAACGGCCATCTCAGGCCCTTGTTCTATTAAGACAAAAAGGCAAGAGAAAGGTTACCCCAAGGTCCCAGCAACATGGTCTGGATCTACTTGACTATTTTATTCTATCCAGTATCACCTTGGCTATGTTACTTGGTGACTGTGAGCTACGAGTTCTTCTTTACACATTTTATATTTAAGTGAGATCACAGTTAGCCTGATGCCAGGCTCTGAGAAAGCATTTGATAAATGGTAACATTTCTTTTCCAGAAATGCTCAGATAGGCTCCATCAATACTCATTGGGACCTAGTTGTTCATTTATTAGATAACTGTGGCTCCAATCTTAAATTCCTACCTGAGTTAACCAATGTTGTCTTACTACTACAGTGAGAGGCTTTTTAGAAAATATTGATGACTAAAAGCCAGTCTCATATTAATTGAAATTGAATGTCTTCAAGTGAAAAGTTTTCCAAGGTTCTCCTAGTAAGTCAGATGGCTGAGAAGGTTCGATAACTACTTGGTTTAAGTAAACTCACTCAACTGAAATAAATTGGGATGTATAGACAGGGACCATCATTGTATCCAGAGGTAGCCAGCCTGATACACTTAAGCCTGTATCCTACAAGAAAGCAAGCATATTTGATATCAGGGAAGAACTTGAAGGGGAAGACCACTGAAGAGTCACAAATACTTTTTCAAATATTTTAAGGGGTTAAAACATCTATTGGTTCCGAAGAATCGATTAATCGTGCACTTTGTGGTTGTCTGTGATGTAGAAGTTACAAGTATCCAGGTTTTATCTCAAAATCAGAAACAGCTTTTGGTGGTTGTCCCTGCAAGAAACCCTCTCAAGAACATGTTTGTAATCATCAGAAATGTCCAAGCAAGTTGGGAAGACTATCATCAGGAGGAACTTAGATGATCCAAAACACTTTTTTAGTCAAAGGTTTTATGAGTTGGATTCAACTCTTCAATGTATCCTCATCTCATTTTGTTTATTTCTTGGGTGTATGAGAGTTTTCTTGTATGTATGTACATGCCCATTGCCTGCAGAGGCTAGAAAAAGGCATCAGATGCCCTAGAACTACAATTCCAGCAGTTGTGAGCTACCATGGGGGCACAGGGAACCAAATCCAGGACCTCTGCAAAGGCAGCAAGCGCTCCTAACTATTGAGCCATCTCTCCAGCCCTCAATTTATTTTCTTCGAGAGTGGATTCCCCACCTCCCATGTGCTATGGCCAAATGAAGGCTCTCAAAAGAAGTAGACATTTTTTGGATAATTGGGTAAGTAAAATTCGTGGGCCTCATTGTATGGCACTTAGTACTCTGGACTATGAATGAGAAAATGAATGAAAGGGTTGTTTGTTTGTTTGTTTGTTTGTTTGTTTGTTTTTGTTTTTCTCTTTCTCTTAACATAGCCTTTATACTCATGTTCCCAAGAGTTTTTTTTTTAATGAAAAACAATCCTTAAAAAAAAATAAAAACCAACCTTATCATTCTGCCTAGATACTGTAGATGTTCTAAAAACCTAAGTCTCCGTAAAGCCTATGCAACCTTTGTCTTTGTGAGCCAATTCCCATGTCACATGTGCAGCTGATAGCATCTTTCTATTGAGGCGCTCAGACAAAGGAAACAAATGCAGGGTCAGAACCCTGAGTCCACAGGAAGCTATTCAAAGAGAAGGGCTTAAAATCCCTGTCAGATGTCAGTCAACTGTCAGGAAAACCTTTTCAGAGTTCTATCCCTTTGGGTGATGAAATGGGTCAAGTGCTTTTATTTGTTATACATTCATTAGTTCATTCATTCATTCATAACTGGTACCTACAATTATCTCTCCGCAGTACCTGGATGCCATAATGGGAGTTTTTTTAAACAGCATCCCTTTGAAAGGGGACTTTTTCCATGAAGGGTTGGTTATTTGCTACACTTCTCTGCAAGAAAAAGCACTGGCTCTTGTCATCTGCCTGTCAGGATTTATTCCTCTTTAACAACAACAAAAGGAGAAGTATTTGAAAAGAAAAAGAAGAACAGCAAAACAAGAATTACCTTCAGGGACTGGTGTTAAAAGGTAAAGCAATAATCTGCAAGTTCAAGAACCGTGTTTAGGAACATCAAAAATGAAATGTTCTGAGCTTTGCTCTCCCGTAAACATTGGGCTCCAACTTGGAGAGAAAGATAAACCCGAAATGTGTTTCCTCTTTCTTGTGTGCAGCTAGCTTTCCTTATTCGTGTGGATTAATTTTGATGAATGGATTAAATTCCTTTTCTCTGAGTTGCACCTTGTTTCTTTCTCTTGGCTTTGTCAGTCAGAGTTCAGAGATACGGCGTCTGATTGTCCTCAGCACTGGAACGAATTGTATTAGATGTATTTGAATACTCAGGAGAAACACAGACCCACGCTTCCACTTTGTTCACGCTCTGTTCTCCCATCCATCTTGGTCTGACACACCAGCCTGTTTTCCGCCTTTGGAGCAGCAGGTTCATAAGCAGCCCCAGGTTCTGCGATAAAGAACCTCTATAGAAATCTCTAAAGGAAAAAAAAAAAAAACTTTCATCCGATTTCTATTAAGGAGCAGAACAGATTTTAATGCTGTTAGAAGGAAAGCCATGCCACAAACACCCCCCACTCAATGGAAGCAGTTTTGTGAATGTATATTAAATTCTTATTCTAGAAGGGTAAAGTTCCACCAGACCTTCTTGTGGATGGGGTTCACATCTCCTGAATAGGTAAACACAAGTTTACCTGGGGATGAGTGCCCAGCGGGCACAGAAAGTGGCACCAGGGTAGAGGACCAGAAGCAGGCAGTATCCCAAAGACTCCAACAGAGAAGGAAGTTCTCCCAGCTCCAGTCGCACTGCACAGAAAATAAGCAAGAGACTCTTTAATCAAATAATACTTAACTATGCTATACATTAATAATTAGAATCTGAGATTAATGCCCATTCTGTCCAAGATGGCTGGCAATGATGGATATGACCTCTAATTCTATGATAAACCACTGTCGAGGCACGAGAGAGATAAAGATTAACAAAGACACTAAAACCACTTCTTATGACTAGAAGAATGGGGAAGGAGAGATGGCTCGGCAGTTAAGAGCACTCTGCAATTCCAGTGGACCCAAGTTCGATTCCCAGCACACATATGGTGGTTTACAGCTGTCTATAATTCCAATCTTAGGGGATCTCACACCTTCTCCTGGCCTTTGCAGGCACCAGGCATTCACGCACATGTTGTACAGACACACATGCAGGCAAAACACCCACACACATAAAAATAAAAATAAATAAATCTTTATAAAGGGAGAGAGAGCAGAGAGAGAAAGAGAGAATATCAGAAGACAAGCAAGCGTCTATGCATGCTTCCACTGCAGTAGTCTGGGCTGCCAGTGGGGCCACTCCTCTCTTTGAGAAGACGTGACCTCTAAGCTTCTTCAAGAGGGCATTCTCAGGCCGCCTGGCAAGAGCACTGTGTGACTGAGGTTAACCCCGAACTTCAGCCTCCAGCATCTTTGCAGCAGCCATCTTGCCAGAAAACCTCAGGACCACCCCAGAAGTTGGTGACATATCATGCCTTTTCGTTCCATATCATGTGGTCCCAATGCTAATCATGGAAGAGCTGGAGGCAGAGCTGCAGATACTGGCTACTGGATGTTTTCCAAGGACGTAAGCACAGGCTGAAGCCCCGTACACTGGTGTTTGAAGATTCTACTTAAAACTATGAAAGATCAGGGCAGGAGAGATGCCTCAGCAGTTACAAGCACTGATGACTCATGCAGAAGGTCCACATCGGGTTCCCATCACCCTCGTGGTGGCTTACAGCCATCTGTGACTCTAGTTAATGGGTATCTAATGCCCTCTTCTGGCTTCCACAGTCACTGCACCAACATGGTTCAAGTACAGCTTAACCTGTGCTCTGAGTGGGGGGTCGACAGCCCTGTCACTGCTGTGGTGGCCTTGTTGGAGGTACTGGCATGAGCTCGGTTTCTCCTCATCCTCCAGTGGCTTTGAACCACGGGACTAGTACGCAGGAGAATACTAAGGACTCTAGTCCAGGCTTTGTCCCAGTCCTCATCAGTGCTCCTCCATAACAACTGACTGAAGCCAATTACAGTCAGTGTGGCTTCCCCCAGGGATGGTGTCCACCACCTATTATTCTATAGAATATCACCCTCCTCTTTGGTCTGTGCTCTGCCTCACTTCTCAGACATTCTGTATTCTGTTGATTGTATTTTCTCCCATCTATTTGTCTTCTTCAGAGGTTACTAAATAATATTGGTAGTTACTACATGTATCTTTCTAAATTCTTTCTGTGAACCAAGAGCTGGGGGCTGGATTGACTCTCTCGATGTACCAGGAGCTAAGCCAGGTGAAGGGTTTTATTTCAAACAGCTACTCTAACCCCAGATGATCTACTCTGGTGCTTTCAGTGAGAGAGAGAGAGAGAGAGAGAGAGAGAGAGAGAGAGAGAGAGAGAGAGAGAGAGAGAACAGACACAGACAGACAGAGAGCATAAACCTCAGATGTCTTGGGAAACCTCAAAAACTATGGGGAATCCTCATCATTAGCTTACATATAGAAGTGGTGATAAGGTCATGTTGAATTACTTGACTAATGGAAAAAGTGAAGCCCCTATAGTCAAGCAAATAAGATGAACTTTGGCCAGGCAGTGGTGATGCATGCCTTTAATCTCAGCACTTGGGAGGCAGAGGCAGGTGAAGGCCAGCCTGGTCTAGAGTGAATTCCAGAACAGCCAGGGATACACAGAGAAACCCTGCGTTGAAAACACAAAACCAAAAAAAAAAAAAAAAAAAAAAAAGATGAACTTTGACCATCATGCTAAATATTGATGCTACTTTGAGTGATTCAAATAGATAATAAATAGTAAGTAAAGGGAACAGAATCAGTTGGCTTAATGAAAATATTATGTAAAATGAATTTATACTGAGCCTGACACCTTTCTTGTATGGGAAAACAAAACATTAGTGGCTTTTTTTTTTCTATTCCGAAGATTCAGTTCATGGGGTGATCATGAAGTCCACACATAAAGACATTAGTAGCTTGCCACTCCATATAAGCATGTATTATACATACACACACCATATATTAAAAGTAAATGATCTACTAAAACAAAACCTTTGAATTGTGACTCATTACTGACAACTGATTATCCCCTTCCTAGGAGATCACAAGCCACTTCCCCTAAGGAAAGGAAGCCAGAGAAACTTAGTGTTGAGTCTCCTGCCTGTGCCCTGGCTCAGTAACCCCGTGCTGTGCAGACTCATTAGCAACAGCCCGATGCTCCCTGAGGTATCCCAACAAATACATTGCAGTAGGAATGGCCATAGCCGTCACTATAGCTTTAATTTCCCTGGCACAGGAAGAAAGGACTATGTCCCCTTCTCTCTTTTCCCAAGGGGGAAAAGAGTATTTTAAGCCTCGAGGTTTCACTCTTCTGAGATTGTGACTTTTCATACGCTCTTCTGGATCAGACTGTCTGAGAACTGAGACAAACACTGGGTGGAAAGTTTTCTGTGATCTACTCTGGCAAATATCAGATCTGCTGGAATATCCTTTTATGCCAGCAAAATAAGAAAGCTAGGTCCTTATGCAAACAAGCCTCAGAACAAAGAGAGAAATAGTCTCAGAGTGTGGAGAAAATTAGAATAGACCAGTCCAAGAGGAAGTTCACGCGTCTCAAAATAAGTGGGATTTTTCCTCTTTGCCACGTCAATCCTCATGGAGGGCTCGAGTTTGTCATGCCCACACCTGTGGGTCTTCACAGGCACCCATGGTTGTGGCTCCTTCTACCTCTACTAATTTCTAGCATTGAGCATATTCCCTGCTCCATAATGTATCAGGAGTCTGTTTCTGAGTCTGTATCAAAAGAACACCAGTTGACACAGGGAACACTGAAATTTACTTCTAGCGTATAACCAGGAAAAATATGACAGAAATGAAGAAGTATCATATTTAACACGATGGAGAAAGGGCAGTGTTAAAAAGAACTGAGACAAAAGGAAAGGTGATGTTTTGAAGCCAAGAAAGCAGAAAAATATTTAGGTTCTTTCAAATTGAAAGCACTATCATAAAATTAGCACTATTCATGAGAAGAGACCCAAATATATGCATTTACTCAGCAATAAATAAAAAAAATCTTATAAGGATCACATAGAAATAAAAATGTATTTACAAATTTTTGGAAAATGGGCTATCTCGGAATTAAGCAATTTTTTACTGAATTTAAAAAAAACAAGTATTTTCAATTCTCTTATTGGAGTACAATGTATAGAAGTGTATCCATTTTAAATCTACAGTTCAGTGATCTCATGTACAGCCTGCACAGCCACCATTTCAGTCATGATTTAGGACACTGTCATCAACCACAGATGTTTCCTCACTTTTTTCCCACTACAGATCAAAGCCAAGGCCTCAGCAATCCTGGACAAGCATTCTGCCGTGGAGCCTCCCCCTCAGCCCTCTCATCCCTTTAGCTTACCATCCCCTTCCTAGTTCCATTTCGTCCTGTTTTCTTGTGTCATTATATCCAGTCTTTTCTTGTCTAGACTTTCAAATAAATGGAGCTATAGGTCCTGATTTGGGTTTCTTTTATGCAAACTTTCTCATGTGCATCCTTATTTGGCATGCATTCATAGTTTGTTCCTTTTGGTTGTTTGGTAGTAGTCATTGTATAAAAACTACAATGTGTTTTATCATCCTCATACCAAATGACATGTGGCTTGTCTTCCACTCTGAGCAATATTGAATAAAAGTGCTGTGAACAAGTATGTTTTATATGCATAGAATTATATCTTAGAGACTTTTTTTTTATATTGGGGTTAAAACTGAGTAAGAAACTGTATAGCTGGAGTTTTCCTATGTCCTGCCCAGTCCGCAGTTGCTCAGACCCAAGTAAACACAAACAGGCTTAATATTCATTAAAACTGCTTAGCCATTAGCTCAGGCTTCCTGCTGACTAGCTGTTACACTTAAACTCAGGCCATTTCTGTTAAACTATATGTCGCCACATGTTCCGTGGCTTTACCTGTGTGCTCTTACATGCTGCTCCCTGGATGGTGGGCTAGCATCTCCTGACTCAGTCTTTCTCTTCCCAGAATTCTCTTTGTCTGCTTATCCCACCTATACTTCCTGCCTGGCTACTGGCCAATCAGCATTCTATTAAACCAGTGTACAAAAGCATTATCCCATAATATTTCCCCTTTTCTGTTTAATTAAAAGGGAAGGTTTTAACTTTAACATTGTAAAATTACATATAACAAACAGTTATCAATCAAGAATTACAGTTACAATATCTAGTCTACTTGTATTTGTCAAAATTAAAGAAAATATTCTATCTGTCCTATATTTGTGAGTCTAAAGTTTCCTATCTAATTTATCTTTTATCATAATCAAGGAAATTATAATTATAACTATCTAGCCTTCAACTATATCAAAGACCTCAGAAGGATATAATATTACCTAAGTAAACTGGAAGAGCATTGTAAACAGCTTCCAAAACTCTGGAAACAACAGAGACAGCTGCCTGCCTGGACAGTCATCCAAAGTTATTCTGTAATCTTGGGGCATTTATTTTTCAGCATACAGGCTTAGAATCTCTCAATTGCTTCTCTGTGTCCTGTAGAATGTCTGGCAGTTTCTTCTATGAAGCAGGAACCTGAAGGACCGTCTCACCTTGCAAAGTTTAGTGGTCATCTTCCTATGCATCCTGCATGTCCAGTTTATATGACATTTTGTCAAGCATTCCAGGCAAGAACAGTTTCTTGCCCAAATGGCTATTTTTGCCAAGAAGAAGATAAACTCCATATAAAGTGTCTTTGATGCCCATTTTTCTCTTTGAAATAAATCAGTGCTGTCAGGAGCAGATATGTCTCACTGTCCAGAAAGCCTAAGCTTTTAAAACATTTTAAATGCCATATTCTGTAGGTCTTTGAAGTGTTTGAAGATTACCTACCTAACTGAATTATATCTATGTATACCTAGAAAACTAAAATGACTATAAGTTTGAGTATCATAGAAGACTAATTATTAATCTGTATTTCTTAATTATCCATTGAGTTACATAAATATAATACCTTAAATGAGAATAGAAATATATATTATAACAAAATCAACTCTAAATTTATATCAATAAACTAAAATCCATAGCAATGTAAAACATTTTTAAACAAGTTGTTGCTCTTTAAAAGTAGGTTCATTAATCTACACTTTTAGCCTATCATAGCTATACTACCCCTTTTTCTTCTTTAGAAAGAGATTACATTTATAATCAACCTGCTTTAAATAAAAATTTGTAGCTGGAAGTTTTTCTTTGTCCTGCCCAGTCTGCAGCCACTCAGACCCAAGTAAACACACAGAGGCTTATTTTAATTAAAACTGCTCTGCCATTAGCTCAGGCTTCCTACTAACTAGCTCTTACACTTAAACTCAGCCCATTTCTGTTAATCTATATGTTGTCACATGTTCCATTGCTTTCCCTATTTGCCAAAACATGCTGCTCCCTGGACAGCGGGCTGGCATCTCCTGACTCTGCTTTTCTTTTTCTCAGAATTCTCTTTGTCTGCTTATCCTGCCTATACTTCCTGCTTGGCTACTGGCCAATCAGCATTTTATTAAACCAGTATACAAAAGCATTATCCCACAGGAAAACCGCCATAGCTTCCCAAGGCCATTGTACCATTTCACATGCTACCAGTACATTAAAGTCTGTACTAAATCCTTAGCAGCATATTGTACAATAGGTCTGTTCAATTGCTAATGGATAAATAGTAGTAACTCATGTTTAGAAGTTGACTTCTTTGGTAACCAATGATTTGTAGTATGTTTCCATGTGTGCTTTAAGAAGTGTCTACTCAATTTGTTACACTTTTATGAGTTATCTACTTCTTATCACTAGGTTGCAGAGAGTGTCCTGGCTAGTGTATCATCAACTTGACACAAGCTAGAGTTATCTGAGAAGAAGGAACTCCAACTGAGAAAATGCTTCTTTAAGACTGGCCTATAGACAAGCCTGTGGGACACTTTCTTAATTAATGATTCGTGTGAGAGAGCCCAATCCATAGGGGGGTGGAGCCATCCCCTGGCAGATGGTCCTGGGTGGTAGAATGAAGCATGTTGGGCAAGCCATAGAGATCAGGCCAATAAGCAGCACTCCTTCATAACCCGAGTTTCTGCATTGACTTTTCTGGAAAAAGGTCTGTAAGCTGTAAGATGAAATATACCCTTTCCTTCCCAAATTGCTTTTGGTCATGGTGTTTTATGACAGCAATAGAAACCCTGACTAAGGCAATACATTTTCAATATTTGCTAAAGAAATCTTTTAATAGATATTAATTTGGAATAATGTCTCCTCATTCATGTCTCTTTATAAGGTCAATAGTAATTCTTAAGTAGTTGGTTATACAACTTAATAAGGAAGACACAAACAACTGAATAAGGGTTAAAAGATACCGGTGCATTACAAAGATGATAAACAGATTGTCTGTAAGAACATGAATGACCCTCCTCTCAGCTAACCTCAATGCCTTTGAGACTCACCACTAACACCAGCCCCACTGCTGACCAGATGTGGCTCTTACCCAGTATCTCCACAGTTCTACTGTGCTGTCCACCTCAGCATCTCCTCTCAGCCCATCCCCATTTCTTTGTAACTCCCAATCAGGGGAATGCAAATTAAAATGACTTTGAGATTTCATTTCACCCCAGTCAGAATGGCTAAGATCAATAAGCCAACCAATAAATGACAATAAATGCTGGTGAGGATATAAGAACAGGGTAACTGTCCCTCCTCCACTGTTGGTGGCATGGCAGACTGGTGCAGCCACTCTGGAAATCAGCATGAAGAATTCTCAAAGAGCCAGAAATAAATCAACCCTATGACCCAGCTGCACCACTCCTTGGCATATGCCCAAAGGACTCAACATCCTACTCCACAGATAAGCGCTCAGCCATGTTCCTTGCTGCTCTACTCACAATAGCTAGGGAATGGGAACAACCTAAATATCCCCCAACTGACAGATGGATAATGGAAATATGGTTCAAATAATGCAACAGATTTCTACTCTGCTGTAAGAAAAATGGAATCAGGAAGTCTGCAGGTAAATGGACAAAACTAGAATGTATTATACTGATGGAAGTAACTCAGCCCCAGAAAGGCAAATGCCACATGTTCTCTCTAACTTGTGGATCTCAGTTCCAAATCTTTAGATGTGGATATATGACCTGGTGTAACTGTGGAAACCAGGAAAGCCATTCTAGTAGTTACAGAACGTATCAGAAGAGATAGGAAGGTCATGTCATACTCATTAGGAGAACAATTCACCAAGAAGATATTACAGTTCCAAATATGTACACAGAAAACACAAGGGTACACAACCTCATAAAATGGACACTAAATGTAAAATCATAGAGTAACCCCAACACAATGATAGTGACTTTAACACTCATTCTCCCTGACAGACCAGCCATCCAGACAATAGCTAAGCAGAGAAACACTGAAGTGAAATGCTGTAAGTCAAATGGACCTAATGGACTTCTAGAGAACATTTCACCCCAACACTAAAGGATACACATTCTTCCCACCAGCCCACAGAACTTTTACCAAAAAAGACTGTATAGTAGACAAAAAGCAACTCTCAAAAAACACCAGGAAACTGAAATAACATCCTGTACTCTAACCATAGCTGTCTATAACTCGGGTTCCAGGGAATTCAATGCCTTCTTCTAGACTCCACAGGCACCTACATATACATGTTCACAGACGCACACATAGGAAACTATGTATACAACATAATTTTTCAAGAAGAAAACCTATTATTCTGTGAAAGACTATTTAAAAGATTAAGTGAGCACGAGGTGTGGTAGAGTACACCTTTAATCCTAGCACTTGGAGGGCAGAGATAGATCCCTGAGTTCCAGGACAGCCAGAGCTACTCAGAGAAACCCTGCCTTGAAAACCCAAATAATAATAATTATTATGTTTATATATTATATTACTATATAATTTATATATTATATATTATAATATTTATTATTATTATTAAAATGAAAAGTGAAGCACAGCCAGTAACATCCCTCAGAGAGTAAAGGCCCTTGCTGCCAAGCCTGAAAACCTCAGTTTGATCTCTAGGTCCCACATGATGGGAAGGAAGAATGGACTCTCACATGTTGTTCACTGGCTTTCACATGTGTGCTGTGGCACACAAATGCCATTATATATCACATACATGTACACACATGAATGAATAAATCAATAAATAAAATGTGATAAAAAGCAAAATAATGTTTTAAAATATGGAAGTCTAAGCCATAGACTGGGAGAAACTATTAACATATTCTGGCATCTGATAAATAACTATGTCAAGAGTACTTACAGATCTGAATTCAACAGAGAGGAAGAAATACCTCAGAAAGCATGTGGTGCTTTGAATAGGCACATCAACGAGAATGGGTAAGCAAACTGTAATACATCTTTACAATGGAATAAGATGCAGTAATGTAAAAGAAGATATCCACAACTCGACTGTTTCCATGGACTTCCAAGTCACACTGGGTGAAAGATGCCAATATGCCAATGCAAGAGCTACATGTGTACTGATGCATTTACATCATTTTCAAAAGAAAATACAAATACTTATGGATAAGAAAATGGTGGTGGCATGGGGTTAGGCCTGGGGGCGGAGTGCAGCTACTGCTTAGAACCATGAGGGAATTTACCTGCATTATGGAAAGATAATGTACCATGACTGTAGTGACAAGTAAACTAATCTACACATGTGGTAACATTCACAAAATCATACGACAAAAAAGCAAAGGGATGCAAAGGGGATGAGAATCAAGGCTCAGGGTGTAGATTGCTTAATCAACACCCAGATCTAAGAGCAGACCAGACTGTTGTCGGGAAGAGCACACAAAACACCAAAAATAATCCTTACCTCTATTCCATAAACTGAAAAGTAGATGTTACTCTCCATAACACTCATTTCCATAAATATGTGCATGCTTCAATAACTATTCACTGCTTAATCAAATAATGTTTTTAAACGTCAAGGAGAGATTCTATCAGTTTACCTGGAAAAACACATAAATACTAAGTGAAAATTCTATAGCCAAAATTTGTCAAAAGTTCCAAGTTCAAATATTTTCTCCTAGAGACTTTATGAATATGCTCATTCTTTTCTGGTTATTTTTAGGTTGAGAAAATATGCTTACTCCTTTACAGTGTATGTGCTTGATATTTTATTTAGAGTAAATTGCTTGATTTATCTTGGGAAGTAAATAACATCTGTTGAAAATTTAAATTCTGTTGCTATGTGGCATTTTTGTCCATATTTTAAACTAGATTTTTGAGTACATTCCCTGTTAATGCTAAACACATCACATAACTTTTTGTAAATTTTAATTTTATGTGTATGGGTATTTTGCCTGCATGCATGTACCTCACGTGTGTGTCTGGTGCTTGCAGAAGCCAGAAGAAGGGGTCAAATCTGGAACTGAAGTTACAAGCTACAGGCATTTGTGATTCACCGTGTGGGGGCTGGGAATCGAACCTGGGTCCTCTGAGAGAACCATTAATGTTCTTAACCACTGAGCCATCTTTCCAGCCTCTGTGACATAACTTTAAAATAGGAAATAGATTCAGAGTCTAATTCACATGACTAATGCTTAGTAATCATGAAGCAAACTGGTTGTCAAAAGATCTCCAAATAGGTTAGCATTATTTTTAGTTTTCACACTGAAAACGTGGTTACAGAAATTAAATGGGGAATATACAACTGTGTAACCACTTTAGCAACCCAGCATATTAAAGACAACAAACTAGGAGTGAAAATCAATCATGTTAGGAATGTAAAAGACTGAGGTCCTTTTAGTTATAATTAGAGGAAAATAACTTATTTCAATGTTTTATACCAAATTGTATCTAAAATCACCTTGTTTACACAGTTTTAAATGGAAACTAGTGTATGAATAAAAATATACCTTTTATTATGCATTTTGTAGGCTTACTTGTCTGCCAGACACAGAATATTTCATCAGGTAGATGACTCTAACTTAGAAAGAAGCCAACTTCTCTGTCTGGAAAGGGACACAGAACAAATACTGTAGGTTCCACAGCTCACATGGAATCCATGGCAACTACTCAGCTCTGCCTCTGGGGTGCCAAGTCACCACAGACACAAATGAAGCAACAAGTGTGGTTCTGTCCCAATAAAGTTTTATTGACAAAAACAGTCTACAAGCCCTAACTGGACCAAATGACCATGCTTTTTCAACATTGTTCTAACTGGGAGTGTGTATTCATGTGTATGCACTGAGCACATGTGTACCCATGACCATACATTGTTATCCTTGCACTCTTCCCCAGACCAAAACTGCTAAAAGTGAGTTCAATTCTGCTCAAGTAGTGTTAGAGTGAGTATTTGCTTCAGTGGACACAGCACATGTCTTACAGTACTGATTACCTGTGAATATGAGTGGCTGGTAAGGAACTATGCTACTGCATCAATAGCTGCAGCGATGAATTAGAAATGACCTTAAAGGGGTTGGGAAGATGGCTCAGTGCTTCACAGTTTTTCTGCCCTTCCAGAGGATCCAAATTAGGTTCCCAGCACCCACAATGGGCTGCTTACAACAACCCGTAACTCCAGCTCCAGGGGATCTGATACCTCTGGCTTCCTTGGTCACTTACACACACAGGTGGCATCCACTCACACAGCTCTACACAGACACATAAACAAAATAAATCTTGGAAAATAACCCATGCTACCTTGACAATTGCCAAGTCTTCAGAACTTGAACACATTTCCTCATTTCCCTCTTTATCAAGAACTGAGTCTCCAAATCTGGTTTGTGGCACTTTTATTCCATTATCTTATATTCCTTCCCAAGAGCAGAAACACATCTATTGCAGACCAGCAGTGCACGGTTAGGCAGATTATAACTTAGCTCTGTGTTATTAAAGTGTTTATCACACTAAGGATTGTTCTTGATATACATTACTTTTAATGTGTATATAACTTTGTCCCTTTAATTTCATAAGTATATCATACAAAAAGAATTTGTTGACAAGGTTTATAGTAAGTGAGCAGTTGACTTATACATAGCAGTAAGTGGTGACTGGGCCAGCTTCAAGTCTGGTCAGCAGGGTCCCATTTCTGCTTACTGTTCTGTTGTCTTCACTGGGGAAAGTATTGACAATTTGTTTTTACACTGGGTCCCCAAATTATACAGCTGGTCCTGAACACCACAATGAGAACACCACAGAGGCATAAGGAGCTCCCCGCAACATAATGTGTAATCAAGTTCAGATTCTGCCACCTGAAAAAAAAAAAAAAAAAAAGATTAATTCCTAGACTTCGAAGGCGGGTTCTTCTAGCAGCATCCCTTCCAAAGGCAGAGGAGTGAAGAAAGCTGACACAGAGAATATGTGGAAACGCCTCCTTTCGATTTTTGAAAAATGTATCATAACTGTCATGATTTTCTTTCTCCTTAAATGTCAGCCACAATCAGCTTGACTATGAAGATCGACTTCTCCCTCTGCTCTACATGATAAGCCTAATAAAGGGCATGAGGCCCTTTAGTCACGTGGCTGGTTGAGAGCCATCCTTTCCTGTGAGAAGGCTCTGAAGTACAAAGATATGTGTAGGCAGCACATGGGTTTGAAATTCTTCATCCTCCCAGCTGGGAAGCGTCGGGTGGGCTGCATTGCCAAAGCTGAGCCCTTTGCACAAATTCAAGTCTCATCAAACCAAGGGGGCCATCTTAAAGTAAAACAAAATATAACCCAAAGCAAGTAGGATTACCAGTCCGAAAACATTCAGGGCCGAGGATGAGCTGGTCAAAGGGAGGAAACCAGGCGGAGTAGGAGTGAGCTAAAAATATCAGCGACCACCAGTCCATTGGGAATCGCGGCCCTTGCTTTCCAGCCCTCCTCCTGATCTATTTTCTCCTGAAGCATCTGCCATTTCTGATACACTTTATAATGTAAACTCCAAAAGAGGCAGGCATCTGTTCACTGATAGGTCCTGACCTTCAAACACAATGGTGGCACGCCAATGACTGAGTCACAGGCAGGATTATCAAGCCGCATTCTGCCTTCCCACTCAGGACTGCTCTTGCCGGGGCTGGGTACCTGTAAATCAAAAGCAGAGAGAGAGACAGAGACAGAGACAGAGAGACAGAGGAGAGACAGAGAGAGAAGGGGTGCAGCAAAGAGACTTGTGATGATCTTGTAATACCCACCCCCAAGAATTTGCACTTCGATTTGAAAACGAATGGCGTCACGAATTTCCAGAGCCCTCTCTGACATTCATTATTTGTACCCCCCACCCCCACCCCACCCCAGCTCTTTAAATGTTGAAATCGAAACCGTTCAACCACAAAGCCTGCTTCAAAGGTACGGTTAACTGGCCCAGGTCAGCGTGTGGGTTAAGGCAAAGCTCTCTTTTTACCGGCCAGATACTTAGATGCTAACAGGTTAGCTAATGATGCTTAATCCTTGCTGGATGCCTCCGGCTTATGCACGGCTTTTGTCGGCTTATTTGTGACTGTTCTTCACATCAGGGGCCCAATTACCTCTTCAGGGCTCCCCTGTCATCCTTTCTAGGACAGAGGGCTCTTAATCGCTCTGACTGGGCCATTCTCTGTCTTCCCCCAACCCCTCTTTCCCACAGTCTATCCTGCATTTAGTCACAAAGCACACTTGTCACATTATTCTCTCCGCTCAGAACCTTGTGTGCCGAAGAAACTTTCGTATTCAGCCCCTGCTGGGGTTGTTTAGTTTTGCTTTGAGTGTTTATTTGTTTTGAACAACAGAATAGAATCCATAGGAATAAAGAGGGCGCCGGTGCCAATCATTTCATAAGTCACACCTGGGTCAAATCTGCCCCGGGCACCCCAAGGTCATTCTCACAAGGCTGGAGGGAGAGGGAGGGAGGAAGAATCCATTTCCATGCTAAGAAATGCAGGACAGCGGGGAGTAGGTGGGAGTCTCTGGGATTCTGGGTGTGAGTGGACAGCCCTGCTCCTTTCACCTAGGACTCTTGACAAGCTTATATATGCAAACTATGGGAACTTGTAGCTTCCCGATAGAGACTAGCCAGCCACAATTCAGGCCCCGTGCTGTTGGTTTGGGGTTTTGGGTTTTTATTCTCTCTTCACTTTTCGGGGGACCTGCTACCTAGCTCCCAAATAAATACATGGAGACTTATTCTTACTTATGAATGCCCAGCCTTCGTTTGGCTTGTTTCTAGCCAGCTTTTCTTAAATTATCCCAACTACCTTTTGCCTCTGGGCTTTTATTTTTCTCTATTCTATATACCTTTCTTTACTTCTTATTCCCTGTCTGGCTGTGTGGCCGGGTGGCCAGGTGGCTGTGTGGCTGTGTGGCTGTGTGGCTGGGTGGCTGGGTGGCTGCTCCCCCCCACCCTCCACTCCTTTTCTCACCCCACTCGTTCTTTCTTCTATTTATTCTGCCTGCCAGTCTCACCTATCTTTTCTCCTGCCTTGCTATTGGCCGTTCAGCTCTTTATCAGACCAATCAGATGTTTTAGGCAGGCAAAGCAACACAGCTTCACACAGTTAAACCAATGCAACATAAAGAATGCAACACGACTTTGTGTCATTTAACAAACATTCCACAGCACAAACGAATTTAACACATCTTCAACTAATATTCCACAACAGACCCCAAAAGGACCAGAAGCAGAAAGCCTTGGAGGGTAGGCTTTTCTTCTCCTGTCTGTGGGCCTGCTTTATTCTCAGCTCTCTCTGCCAATACATCTCCTTTGCTCCTCAGGGGAATTCTATGGAACCAAGCCATAACCACTTCAGAATTTGCCTGGGACAGTTCCATGCACCCTCTGCTCTGGGTTCCCATGCCACCACTCCAGCAAATGGTTAAAGGTATGTCGGGTGCCCACCTCAGAACTCGCACCTAGGCTCTAACCCTGGATGGCAACTGACCTGTGCTGACCCCCTGAACTGATATATGCTCTGGAGAAGTTCAAGGAGAAATATACAAACATGTACCACACACACACACACACACACACACACACACACAC